TAGATAATATTTTCTTCACGTTTTGACGATACCGTATAATATGAAGTACACAAGTATAAAGTTTGCACAAATTATGATAATTTTTATACTCACGTGTTATGATGTATGTTTATGGCTTCTCTAAACATGGAGTTGTATAGAACATATTTGTCCATGTCAGTGACCATGTAAAATATACTGAGTGCTACAAAATAATTCCGATTGTATAATAAGTTTAAGTTTATACTTAAAAATTTATCTATATTAATGGCTGCAAATTTATATATTATTATTTATTATTATTATTATTATTATTATTATTATTTTTATATATTATTTATATATTAATAAATGTGATTCTCTTACCACTTTTTCGCCACAATTCGCTAAAAATTAAGCTTAGAGATATGAACGTTGAATTTTCTTTACCTGGAAGATCATGTGTAACATATGCTTCTATAAAATCAAGAATTTCTTGCCGTGTTTGGACTAGTAGCGACTTCAGTAAAGATTGACCGAAAATCTACGCAATAGTTTCCATAATTATACAAATTACTTTCATAATTTTACTTTCATAATTATATTATTTACTTAACTCAGCTATTGTACGCACATACAATACAGTTTTATGTAATAATACAGATTGACCTGTACAGATTGATATGTAATAATACAGATTGAATAATACAGTTTCGAAAAAAGCAAAATCTATGACATCTTTTAGTAAAACATTTCATATTAAAAAAGCAGCGTAGTACCAGTACAACACATTTTTTAGTATAAAGTAAGATACAAAAACTTTATATGAGCATATACTAACTTTATATATAACAAAATATTAAACATTTCTAAAAAAATTTGTGATATTTAACACAGACGTTATATTGGTTTTGTGGTTTGTACATACATAGTTTACACGCATTACTCCTATATGTTTCTATATGTAAAAATGTAAAACTGTGTATATATCGACACTTTCTGCGTATATGAATATAAGTGTCACAGACAGTTGTGTTCCAGATAAACTAAAAAATGAAACAAGCAAAGCAAGATGTATAAATCAAACACAGTCGCAATCGGATGCAGTTTTAATCGTACACAAGTTGAAACAAACACGAGATGAAAGAGACACACGATAGTCTCAATCAGACACAATAGTATTAAAACAAGATTACTTTTTTTATGTTCTTTTTGTGTTTTAAACGTGTAGTCAAAGGCAGCCTGCACTTCCTTTTCGATTTGAGTGAAAAGTTGAAACCTATATGAAATCTTGCTTTAATTTTAGTTACGTTGCTTGTCAATGTTTGCCAGTATAATATGTCAAGCGTTGTGTGTCCGATTGAAAATGTCGTGTATCCGTCTTAACTTGTGTTCAATCGTAACTGTGTCCAATTGTCTCAGTTCTGTGTCCGTATCTTGTCGTGTGCGATTGAGTCTGTGTCTAATTTACACATTTTGCCGTATCCGTTTCATCTTGTGTCTATCTGAAACTCACACATATATTTATAGTTTATTGTATAGTGATAGTCAAAATTAACGTTGTTATGATAAACAAATAATAAAAAAATATATTTTTAAGTAAAATATTCATAAGGTAAAATCGAAAAAAAAGCTTCTTTATTCAGAAAAACATAAAGTGTTAAACTGTTGACCTGCTGTTTTCTAATATAAATAAATTTGGGGTTTGAAGTTATGGGGTAAATGTAGAAAGTGACGATACTGTATATACTCATAAATATATACATATACATATGTATACATAGAATCTAATACATACCTATGTGCTGATACTAATTTTGGATCTTAATAAAAATGTAAAGAGTAATATTACAACAGTGTTACACAGAAATAATACATTAGTGTAAATATATATTAGTAGAAAAAAGTTTATTATAAATAATATTTGTGTGGAACAAACCTTTTAAGTTACAAGTGTAAACGACTATGATAATGTATGAATTACCTAATCGATAATATACACTCCTTAAGATGTTGAAAAACCTTCCATAAACCAAGAATCAGACTGTTTCAATGTAGGTAACCAATCACTAAACATTTCTTGTATTACATTACGTGCTAGTAAACATGTTACTTTTTTTTTGTGCAAGTGAGTTTATTTTTTCATTGTATGTAATTTCAGCTTCACTGAAAAACATTGGTGTTAGTGCAATCGTGTCATTTTTGGTACATCTTTTTATAAACTCGTTGTATTGTCTTGAGTAGTATCTTACTTGAAGAAAACATGATTTTTAGTTATTACACTTTCGTAATGGCTAGAATTGATTGGAAGTGCTGCATAAATTACACGTGATCATGATACATTTTTTCAAGTGTTTTAACATGATGCTTGATATTTGTAATAAGAGATTTTGCATATAACATTGTACTTTTCATTTGTACTTTGTTTATTATAATGTTTACCCAAAAAAAAGAAAAGGAATTTGCTACGGTAAAAGGTACGACTGCTATTGTTACTACGTGAGTAGACATTACTGTAGGTGTAGAAGGAAAGTATGTACAGGATATATTTCCTTCAACACTTCTATTACCAGGCATATGTGACAAAGCAATTTCATCGTTGTTGTGATAAATGCGAATACTAATTGTGGCCTTAATTGCTGGGTTTTTCCAATATGGAAATATCCATTCAGCGGGAATACGCAACAAAATCAAATATCTATAGAATGAAAAACGTTGGTGCTAGAGATAAATAAGTAAGTTACTACAAAAACTATTTATAATTCATATTTTAATTTAAGAAAAGTAATTTTTCATGCACGAATTTATTATTAACTTACTCTGTTTCTTCAGATTGCTGGACATATAAAAAAACCGTTGCAACTTTTTCTAAACTGCAATTATATTTCGCATGTATCCAATATTTTTCACTTTGTAAATATGTTATTTGGTTGTTGATTTTAATATTCTCGCGATTCAGGAAAAAGATTGTGATGTCTAAGATGTTGAATCGATCTTTCGTAAAAAATGACATCAAATTTATTTTTAAAGACAAAAAAGTAAAATTATTTCGTATATCACTATTGATAGAGATTTTCGGTTGATCACGATAAGGTCCGAAATATAATTTTATTCTTCGTGGAGTACATGTAACGTTTATTTTGACGCGAGATTCAACACATTTTTTTATATCCATAGTACATGTAAAACAAAAATGATTGGTCGAATTTTGTCGACTTACCGACTGAGTTTACATCTTTTGGCGTCAGATTGTAGTACCTAATATTCGTTTAATATAAAAAGTGATGCAGTTTGTACGTAGAAAACCATCTGCGTCTTGTTTTCGGAACAACATAAAGAACAATATAAAGCAAATTCGAGACACAAAGTCGCGTTGCATCAGCCATGTTGGTTGGATGTGCGTAATTCTACTGTGAATATTTTTGGACACTTTTAGCATATATTTTTGCTAACATTCTTTATATCTACATTCAGACACAGACTGGCGTATGAACTAACCGATTTCTCGGTTCAAGAGCCACAAGCGCACCAAAACCAAACCAACAATATAAAGCTCTCAGAAATGCGTTTAGAAGTCTAGTATGAATAAATAGTGTGCGTGAATAATTTCAAAACAATATTGGAATACACACACTATTTATTCATTATTTCACGCACACTATTTATTTACGCTAACCTTCTAAAAACATTTCTGAGAGCTCTATATTGTTCTTTATGTTGTTCCGAAAACGGGACGTAGTTGGTTTTCTACGTACAAACTGCACAACTTTTTATATTAAAGAATTATTACTACGATCTGACGCCATACGCCGTAATTCAGTCGATAAAACCGATTCAGTTAAGGATCTCTTTAACTTTTACATCAGATTTCTATGATTTTAATTCCACTATAGCACTTAAATATTTATTTTTTAACTACCTCGAACAGTAGTTCCAAAGGGTGAGAAGGTCTATTTTAATTATTTATGATTTTAATGTTTTCAAAAATCTTACCATAGCGTTTTTCATGACACTACCTAATGTTATAGGATGTGACCGGCCCAGTGGTCTCGCGGCCTGAGTGCAAGGGCTGCGAATCTAGAGGTCCCGAGTTCGAATCCACCTAAGGATTTTTTCCGGGCCGGTCCTTTTCAACCGGGTTTATCGGTTGATCGGCGAACTTTAATCGGGCCTCTAATAGTTAATTCGGGTGTAAGTTCCCGAATTGTTATGTTTTCAAATTAATGTCTTCAAAAATCTTACCATAGCCTCTTTCATGGCACCTACTACCTAATGTTCTAGAACATAATTCTAGGTATGTTTCTTTCTCCGGTGAAGTGGACATACATGTTTCGTCTGTCGTATTGACAGAAGAAACATCCTTTTATATCCATAGTACATGAAAAACAAAAATGATTGTGATTAACTTTTACATCAGATTTCCATGATTTTAATGTTTTTAAGAATCTTACCATGTGTTTCATCGCTCTAACTAATATTACGGGATGTAGTTGTATATAGTTGTCGGATGTAGTAGACGGAAACTGTATAAAATATTAAATTGATGACTGATTTTTAGACAATCCATTTATCAGATCAGGTATGAATTAGCTTATACTTTCCAAATGCTGACACACGTGACTGGCCCAGTGGTCTCGCGGCCTGAGTGCAGGGGCTGCGAATCTGGAGGTTCCGAGTTCGAATCCGCTTACCACCTAAGGATTTTTTCCGGGCCGGTCCCTTTCAACCACAAGTTTATTGGTTGATCGGCGAACTTAATATCAGAGAAGATAATGTGTGTCATATAGCCAACACAACCGTGCAGGTGGCTGAAAGGCACGTTAAATACCCGAAAGAAAAAATAAAATATTGTTGTCTTATCATGTGACAACGCGTTCGTTATGACGGGCAAATATTCGTCATTTAAAACAAAGCTTGAGACAATGTGCAAAAATTTATTGACATTTCCATGTCCTTGCCATGCCTCTGCGCTAATTGCTAATGTTGCATGTAATAAGATTCCAGAGGAATGCGTAAGGCATTCCTCGCCTTTTATTGCGAGGAATTCGTAAAGAAAGTAGCAAGTTTCATTAATAGAGTAGTCCTAAGCGATCTGCTATTTTTGAAGAATTTAGTGAATGTTTTGAAGAAACAAACAACAAAATTCTAAAGTTGTGCGACACACGATGGCTTTCTCGACATTTATGTATTAAAAGAATTTTAAAATCTTGGGATACTATTAATAATTTTTTAACATAAATATTAGTAAATGATAAAACGCAGACTGGAGAAAATTTATTATGTGTGATGCACAAACCTGATGTAAAAGCCTATTTATTATTTTTAAAATATATTTTACATTTCTTTAATTGGTTTAACGCATTTTTTCAAGCTCTAGAAACAAACATACAAAAACTACAACCAAAATCACTCGAATTGCTAAATATTATATGTAAATATTTTTTACATCCAGAGCTTTTGCGTAATATAA